AGAAATCACATTTTTTTCTCTTTTACTCATCCAAACACAATAGTGAGAAATGGCTCTGTTTCGTACAACTCTGGAACTAACATTTCAGAGCTTATTTTACATATGATGTTTGTTTTGGTTTTCAAATTATAATTCGACACTCACTTTTGAAAACACGGTCAAAAATAGAAAAATTTGGAATAACCGGTCGTCCTACCAGGCGTCCTACTGGATGTTCCACTGGTCGCTCGGCCGGTTGATCGAAACAGTGCAAATTTTTTTTTTTTTTTTTTTTTTTTTTTTTGCAATTGACATATGTTAATTTTTATATATTCGAAAAAAATATTTTCCAAATTTTTAAAAAAAATTTATGTGCTTTAATAGAATTTTGAGTTATATGTTTGGTTATGAGTTGTAAATTTTTGTATCAAATACTATATGCTACATAAAAAATTTCTCACTCAATTCAAAACTCTTTTCAAAACTCGTTCACCAAATAAATTTTTCACACTTAAATCATAATTCCAAAACTTCAAAACTTAAAATACAACTCCTACACTCAAATCATATTTAAAAAACTCTACTAAACACAACTGTATAATCATTTTTCTTTTTCTTTTCTTATCTCACCTCACCTCACCTCACCTCACCTCACCTCACCTCACAATCGAAGCATAGAGATTTGGGAGTAATGCTAGGCATTTGTGGTGTTACTATAAATATCATAATTAAATCCTTCTAACTCATAACTAAAAAACAAATCAAATACCAAGTATAATGAGATTGAGTTTTGTATGGCTTCCCCGTAAGCTATGGGGCATACGGTTAGCCAATTAATGGATGACAACCCAGCAAGGGTGGGCAAAACTTTTATCTTTCCTCTTGTTTTTTCATTAATTTTTTCATTCCTCTCCTCACAGTCGACAACACAGCCTATTCTCTGATCCTCCCTTCATGTGCCCTCGCACTGTCAAGTTTAGATTTATTTAATTTTTAGGTTGCCAAGTTTAGAATTATTAAAATTGAAGATCTCAATTTTACGGATAAAATTAATGTATTGTGAGAATAATTTGTATTTATATTTATATTAATGATTTAAATTATTTATTTTATATGACAAGTTAAAAAAATATAAATGCAAAAAAATAGATGATCTACATAAATAATTAGGATGACAAAATAAATATATATATAATACATAAAAGTCTTATTTTTAAAAACATGAAAGCGCCATAGATAAAAATAATAAAAATAATATATATAATATGACAATCGATTATAAATTAATTTAATTTTTTATATAAATAATTTTATAAAAAATAAAAATTTAAATTATCGATAATAAGTCAATTTCACCGTGAAAGATTTCAAACTACAACTTTGGCAAATCTAGACTCTTCACTGTTGTCGATGTCTCCGTCCCTTCCGTTTGGGTCAGGCTCTAAATTTTCAGTAATCTAATATTCAGTTTTACTTAAAAAGATAAAATATTATTATAAATTATCACATTATTATTTTTATTTTATATATATATATATATATATATATTTATAAAAAATCTAAAAAATATTAAAATAGTACATTTTCAAACGAGGTGTAAATCATAACAACAATCTGAAAGGATTTCAGGCGAGACAAAGCCCAATAGTGAACCAGTCGCCGGAGACCACTCCGTAGAGATAAAATAGTTCACCCAAGCTCGTCTGTCCAAAAGCTTCCTGTCACTCCATCTTACAAAATGGCAGATCTTTTGAACCATATGTTGGAAATGGTTATAAATTCTGGGTAAAATTAGAATTTTATCCTAAGTTCGGTCTATTTTTTAGGTGGGCCCCGTGCGTCGATTTTCACGGGTCAAAGTGGTAACCCGTTCTATGCCGCGTTGTGATTCACATGGTATATTTGATTGCTCAAAACCATTACCGAGTGAATGATAAATTGAAGACAAAGTGTGTTCCATGAAAATGGAGTTTTAGTGGAAATTCCATAAAGTTGTAAAATGGCTTGTCCGACATTGATTTGGTGGGAGGTTTTGAATGGGTTTATAAGGCTTGGGTTTGGTACTTAGGGTGTGCCCCAAGGGGTACCCAAGTGTTTTAGAGGGAGAGGTTATAGGCAATATGGGCTAGACCCATTGGACCCAAAAATCACCACAAACGCGCGAGCGCTGCCCGTCCGGTCAAGCGGGTTGGGCTTGTTCGGCCCAATACTAATCTTTTTGGGCAAAAAACATTTGAATTTAATTTTACCGGACGGGCTTGGGCACGGGTGCGTGGTGTGAGGTTGGGCTTGTTCGGCCCAATACTAATCTTTTTGGGCAAAAAACATTTGAATTTAATTTTAATTTTTGGTAAAATAAAATCCATAATTCAAAATTAAACTGGTTTGGTTTTACTGTACATCCAAACAAGGCCCTTCCCGAAATAAACCAGTCTGGTATTATTGCACACCAAAACAGGGCCCTTCCCGTTTTGTTATTTGTTTGAAATATAACCCAACAGATTCAAATCTGTTTGAATTTAAAACCAACAGGTTTCATACCTATTCAATTCAAAACCTACAGCCACCATTACATCTATAAATAGAACAGCCCTCATTTGGATTTTGCAACTCAAATTTTCGTCCTTCATAATTCTGCAAACATCCTCTTCATTTTGCTGCATTATTTTCTTGTCAGGGAGAGTATAAACACTTAGTGTGTTCGTTAGGCAAACAATTTGTAGTGCTGCTATTGTTTGTAGTAGATCATTTTATCTTGAGAGATCGACGTCCAAATTCTGAAAGTATCGTGGAGAGGGCGAATCTGTCTTAAGGACACAGTGTCAAACATTGGACTTGATTTGATAATTATTTAAAGAAATTAATTAAGTAAGTTGTTTAATTTATTATTCTGTTTTATTTATTTAAATCAGATTTTAATTTTATTTTTGTAACAAAATAAAATTTGTTATTATTTATTTATTTTTGTAATCAAACAAATTCTCTCATTTTTTTTATTTCTTAATATTCTAGTAATTGTTTTGTACACAATAAAATTTAATCTTTTTAAATACAATGAAGATTGTCCTATACCACACACTCCTAGCGGACCTCTTACTTTGAACCCTGAAGCTCTCTACTTCACTGTCATCATTGCCGGCGTCAGTTGATGCCGAAAAAACACTCATCAATTTTTCAGGCCATGTATCGATGGCTTCAACAGGAGTAATAATGAAGATAACATCACCAGATCCCATTTTCGCCCAGTTTTTTCTTAAGATCAAACAGTTAGCTGAAGTAAAAGCTCAATGAAATTAAACACGTGTTGCATCGTCATTGGATAACCATAAACAAAGGGGTTCACGGCGTGTTCGTATCCTCAACCGTGATTCTGTGGAGTGATCTAGTGGAATGGATTGGTGAGGGAACAACGCTTATTCCACTAATGAAATCAAGGGTTGAGATGACTCGCTCACCAAAACGATATCGTTTAGACGAGAGAAATCAAACAAACAAATAAATAAATAAGAAAATTGAATTAGTTCAACGAACCTCCCAAGAAAAATGGAAACCCAAAATATGAAGATTGTTCACGGCAATTTCTTGATTAAAATTAATAGATTCTCATTTTTTATTATTATTATGCTTTGTTGATTGGTGTGTTCTGCGTTCTAATTGGATAATTGGGTCCTATGTAGGATCTAAAAAAAGAATTCGAGTGCTGAAAAATGGGATTTTTTGGATTAGAGTTTTATTTTTTAACTTTTATTATTATTATTATTATTACTGGTTGGGTATGGCTTTGTCAAGTTTCAAATAGGTTCGAGTTTTTTCAAAATATGTTCAACCTCTAAAAATTAGCTTTAACTAAGTATGCAGTAACCAGGTGTGTTTATTATACTTAGTTGATTTTCGAATTTTGTGTTGACATTATTGATTTTACGGGCACGGCCGGGTTTATAGGCTTCTAGCCAGTATTATTGGTTAAGGTTGTAGGAGATAGTTGTACCAATTATCTATGGTATAAGCCCTCGGACACTACCCAATTGAAAGAAATAGTAACATTTGGTAGTGTTTGTTTCGAGGGATTGAGGGATGAGATTGGATTATTAGTTCATCTAGACTAATAGTCTGTTGTTTGGTTTAAAATTTTTGCACCTGATTATTAATCCCAAATATATTGGACTATTGTCTATGGGAAGGGGTGGAACACAAATGGAGAGATAAGGGAGCTTCTATATACACACACCTAATCTCCTCTTTGCACATCCTTCTCACTACACACACCCAAAAAATTAATTCCTAATTAATTTCCTTACTACACACATGGTGAGTTCCAAATGTACCCTCATACACACACACACACCCGACCCCAAATACACACACCTATTGAATCTGAAGCACATCTTCAACCTTGAAGCATTCCATCACATAGAAGCTGAAGCATCTATTCAAACTGAAGCACATCTTTAGATTTTCATTGAAGCATTCCATCTCATTACCGTGTGCAACCTAGGTGTGCATCCCGTTGAAACATTCCATTAGATTTTCAATTCTCATTAGGTGAGTTTACTTTTGAATCATCATTCCTATTTAATCCTCATTTTCATCTATAATGTAGAGTTTTTCACTTGGAATGTAGAGTTTTTGATTTGGAACCGTCGTTCGGAACTGGTTAACCGAAATATAGCAATGTGTTCGGACGTAGGAATCCGAAAAAATTCAATATGTTCATCAGTAGATTTCCGAAAATGTTACATTGTTTCGATAGTCAACTTCCGAAAAAATTGAATTTGGACAACAGTCAACCTCCGAAATTATGTTTTTCTTTTGGATTTCAACTTCCGTACAGGTTTTTTTTTTTTTGCCCCTTCTTAATTAAAACACATATTATAATTTAAAACACTTATTATAATTTACACACACGTATTATAATTTTACACACACTCTCATTAATTTTACACACACTCTCCTTATTTACACACACTCTCTTTATTTACACACACACTCATTACACACACTTATTATTTTTTGCAGATAATATGGATTCTGAATATCAACAACGTGTCCCACCTACTGCTTCAAATAGACGACGTCGTGAATTGGATGTAGACCATGAACGGGGACGAGGGCGTGGGCGAGGACGAGGCCAAGGTCGTGGTCGAGGTCGTGATCCAGTTTCGGTAGAATATGATATTCCCAGTGCCAGTCAAAGTCGGGACCGAAGCCAAAGACGAGTTGAAGGTTATGATATGCCTGACATTGCTGTGGAGGATACCTCTTTACCTGATTCTCCTCCTATCCAGGAAGAGTACCTTACTCATGCTTTTCCAGGTGGACTGACTGATCCGTCAATACTACGGAGTTTCAATAGTCATGTGGCTGCAGTTATTTGGCACGGGGAGGTAAACATTCCTCAATAAAAGTGAAATTAATTTGTATATGAGTTTTTTTTTTTTTTTTTTTTTTTTTTTGGCATGTGTTGTATGGTAGTTTGTAATGAGATATCATTTGTGTTGTAGGAACAAGGGCCCCTAAAGTGTCATAATCACTTTTCCATGATCCTTGCATGGCCATGGTGGTTAGTAGAGAACAACACCAGATTCAAAGCCATTATTGAGCATCTGGACTGTCACAGTTAGCTCGTTGCACTTATCGGTTCGTCAACAAGCTTCTAATCTCCAGTTTTGTTGAGAGATGGCAACCTGAGACGAACACATTTCACATGACAGTTGCTGAGATGACCTTGACCCTGGATGATGTTGGCGCTATTCTTGGCCTTCCCATTGTAGGCAAATCAGTCAGCATACCAGATGTGACAGATCATCATGGAGTTACATTACTCGTTTATGGCTTGGGGATTACTGAACGTGCAGCACATGAAGAGGTTTCTTCTGCTGGTGGCAATTCAGTCAGGCTTGAATGGTTGCGAAGTCAACTTGCTGGTGTCACAGATTCAGACCCCGAGGAGGCTATACAGTGCGCTGCAAGAGCTTATTTATTGTTTCTGTTGGGATGTACACTCTTCAGTGACAAGAGTGGCGGCAAGGTTCCCGTTGTTTACCTCGGCTTGTTGATGGATTTGGGATCCATACATACTTATGCCTGGGGTGCTGCTGCATTAGCATTTTTAACACACACCTATCATTCCACATATACCCCCAAATGTAAATCATACACACCCCCTCCCTCTCACACACACACCCGTCTGTCACCCTTCTCACACACACACCCATCTGAGAACCCCTCTCACACACACACCATGAGCACTTCCGAGCATTCCGACCTCATCAGAACAGGGGCTACAATGAAGACATGCCACACGTGTACCATTGGGCATCTAGGAGAGAGGCGAGTTCCTCCATTGAGCATTTGAAATCTTTTCGAGCCGAGCTTGACAGTCTGGTAGCTACTGATGTAAGTTTACTCATCCTGTGATAATTTTAACAATTCCATTTATCTTACCCTTTATGTACTTTAATTCCAAAACACTTTACGTTTACAGGTTATTTGGGATCCATACCACAGCTGCAGAGACCGGCATCCATGTAACCCGGTTACGTTCTACCATGGATGCTTAAAGTGCTTAGACGTTGTTGAACCCTATCATCCAGATAGAGTTTTGAGGCAGTTTGGCAGGGTTCAAACCATCCCAGATGCACTGCTAGCTCCCAGTCGTGGTGTGTGAGGCAACATACCTGCACGATATACAGTCATGTACAGATACTTGGATAGGATCTGGGAAGCTTGGGATAACCACGTGTTATCTGAGCAACAGAGGAGCACACCAGTTCGTCAGCCTTGGCAATGTGTACAAGGTTACATGGATTGGTATAAGAATATCACGCACCTATATGTCAAGTACACTGATGAACCACGTGTCCATGACCATCAGGATTTTAGCGAACATGCGGATGTAATCTATTATCCTCTCTTATGTATATGTAGCTTACTTCTTTTTTTTTTTTCTGATATGTTCCCTAAAATGTGATATTCTTTTCAAATGCAGCGTATTGCACATGCACTGCAGATTTCACATCCTATTATTGACGCTGGTTATCAGGAAGGGATTCGACATCCTTATCGACTTTACCAGGCTATCGAGAGTATGACGCATGTCCTTGAAGGTCAGCACATTGACGAAGCTGGACCTAGTTCTGCTGGACCTAGCTCGACATTGACATACAGTCGTAGGCCTAGGCATAGGCATACAGCTGATTCGTGACATGTTATTTTGTTAGTTGATGAAATTTTTTTGGTGTTTTTTGTAAGATGACATTGTTGTAATGATAACAGTGGTTAATATTTTCTTATTAGAATGGAATGGCAACAATGGTATTGTAATGACATTGTAATGACATTTTATTATTATAATGGAATGGTAACAACGGTCGTTGATTTTCTAAATGATATTTTCTTATTACAATGGAATGGTAACAATGGTCGATAACATTCAATCCACATTGCAAAACATAACACATCAACATCAAAAACACATCCATTAATTTCTTCCATAATTCTAACATTGTCAAATGCATACATGTGTCATGCGACATCAACAACATCAAAAGTCTCTCGAGTAGCTACATTATCATGAATAATGTCCTTGAAATGTTGAATGCGACGCACATATGCATCATCACAGTCGACAGCGCAAGGGTGACGGTATTTTCTCCAATTAGTGGCAATAGGAGGAACTGGATGGCCTGACTGCAACAAAACCTGCACCAAATATCAATTGACTTAGTGGTCATACCTCATAACTTCTTGTACATGCACAAACCCAATTGATAAGTTTCTATTATACCTGGACGAAATGATTTCCGTTGACAAACCCAATGGCAATCTCACGTCTATCATATTGAGGTACTGGCACTGTTCTAAGAGGTAAAAAGGTGAGACATTGTTGTAAAGACAAGTGGTATAACACAAGATTGTAGCACGATGCAACAAGATGCCCCATGTCTGGCATAGTCATCCAATGTAAGTATCCAGGACTGTCTTCAAAGTATGACAATATGCTTGTCAATTCTTCAAACCTTTCATAGGACCCATAAAGTGTAATGTATTCCTCTTTGTGTGTGTGCAACCCACCCAATAGGTCACGCCTAACCTGAGCCCAATCATCTTCTGTATGACCAATTGAAGCAGCTATAGCCCTGAAACCACAATTCCCATCTGTAGCTACATTCTTGACAAACTTAATGTATGGTTTCAACCCAGCAGGGAAAGCATCAACATATGCACCAGGTTTCACTATTCTAGTAATGTATGCCTTCCCTTTCAGATTCACCTTCTCCTTTCCCTTAACAAGTCGCTTCTTCTTGGTTTGCAGAGTAGAAGCTAATGTAGTGATTTAAGTGTCCCTAGGTGAGAAGGAATCATGTCCAAATTGCACTAACTCAAATGCACACGGGTCACGACGGGTAGAAACATTGATCTTCTTATGATCCCGAGGACGTGTTTTGGGCTTCACCTCCGGCTCAACAAGAAAAGTGCTTCCCGGATATACAATATCTTTCAACTTCTTCAAAAGCTCCAACCGCATAGTTCTATCACTTTCATTAAACTTGTTCACAAACAACTCTACTTTTGCATGACAAGTCACCTCCGTGTCATCTTCTTTCTTGCATATGGAGATATGAAGTTGCCTCCACTGTGAGTGTATGGTAGCAAGTGGTATAGGACGATCTTGTCTGATGTAGTCAGCAATCTCATGGGCGCAAGGTAAACCATGAGTGTGGCGAAGGACGCATCCACAAGCTTCAACATCAATACCAATGGAATTGGCTCTCTTACTCTCGACAAGAAAATACTCCAATGCAGAGATATACACATTACCTCATACCTCCCTGAATTGAGAAGGTTTAAATTGATGTTGCACAATAGTTAGACTTTTCTCAAATGAAGCCTTGATATCAGTGTGTTGCAACTCAAGCAGACTATGTATTTTCTTAAATGATGCCTGAAATGAGACTTGACATGAACCCAATTGTCTTTTAAGTTTTGCATATGCACTCTCAGCCCTGTTCTTTCACGGGGTTGCCAATCACAAAGGTTGGGTTACTCCCTTAGTGACTTTCTTAGGGCTTAGCCCATCTCCCTTGAGATATATAAATACAGCAATGTTAGGTATCATGAAAAACTTTTCATGAAAGTAATCATGAAAGCTTTGTGACCTTGGATTACATTTAGAATAAAGCACCACACATTAATTAAGGTAATCTAAGGATCATAAATTTTTTATGATCACTTTCATGAAATTTTTTTTATGATCTCTAACTTTTCCCATATAAATATGGACTAGCATCGCTAAACCAAAGGCAATAACTCCTCAAGTTAAATCATTCGAATTTACCTCAAATTTGACTTCACAAATTATAAATATTCTGAACTTCTCAAGCTTCAATATCATATAAAGTATATTTCTCCATCACATGGAGTATCTCATAATAAAGTTTTTTATTCATTGCGCGCCACAATTCTTTTAGAGACTCGCTTTGTAAAAACATTTAATCGGACTCATCATGCAATTATAATCAATTTTTCATCAAGGCAACATAGACCCACTAAGGAAATGTGGTCCTTATATTTTTCGAACTGAGACAACATATTGAATCTGTCAAATATATTTGTTCGAAGTAGCCAATAGCCATACTATTAGGAATCATAAATTTTTTGTAATTAATAGCCTACTATTAAGAACTACACATTATAACCAGTAGTCCTTTCATATACTATGAACCACCGATATTTCTCTTCCATTTCCTTTGCCTACAATAGGATAAAATATTTTCCGTCTTCTCAAACTCCTTATTCCCTCTTTTTAGAAAAAAACCACGAATAATCTTTTTAGAAAAACCACCAAATAACCTTTGTTCTCCCTTTCACAAAATAATAATTTGTAACTATACAAAAACTTCATTCACCCTTGCATTATAAATCTTTATAAAGCTAATACACAAATAATCATTTTCCCAAGAGATATTGTCTTACTCACACTTGTATAAAAATTGAAAAATATTTCAAATATGCCTCCTCTTTAAAAAAGTGTCACACAACTTAATTTTACTTATAAATAACTTATCACCACATTCCAATCCTTTTCTTTTCTTTTTTTTTTTTAAAAAAAAAATTCTTTTTATTATATATAACAAAGACAATTTTTTTTATCAGCAAAAAAATGAAAGCTTTATTGATGAAAAGAGGCACAATACATGCGAAATTTACATCAACAAAGAAGGGAAATGCAAAAAGCATCATAGCTAACCTCAACAATCCCAACTAGGTTGGTATCGCAAAGGAAGCACAGTCATATGCTAACACTTGACCCATGATTGATGAGAAACCAATTAAAAGCACCCAAAGAAAAACGGAAAAACAAGAACACATCAGCAGCAGTAGCAAAAACCTCTGCATCAGCAACAAACCAGTGACCAATGACCCTCTGCAGAAAGCCTAAGCCCTTTGCAGCATCACACAAGAAACCAGTGGCTAGTAACCCTGCTGCCATGAACTCCACCCAACAAACACTTCCAAGCAGCAAACAACCAAACATTCAAACTGAGAGCCAACTGGTGGTGCCAAACAAAACAACTAAACAGAGCATCTATTGCAGGACAGCAGACTTAATCCATAGCATTCAACCTCCATTTCTGATACACTACTTCATACAACAGATTATGAACCAAAGGAAGCAAAACCAAGAACCAGGGCCAGACCAAAACTACTGCTGCTGCTGCACACCAAGATAAAGCAGATTATAAACCAAGGCAATGACAGGTAAAAGTTGCTGCTGTTTCTCCTACTAAAACAGGCACCTTCTAACCTGTTGCAGATTATGTACCAGATCATTGACAGAATAAGCCAGAGAAGATACTGAGGACTTAACCCACAAGGCAATTCGTACCTTAATGGTTTCACATAAAACTTCAAAATTAGGCTGCATCCCATTAAACACACAATCATTCCTCTGTTTCCAAATGGACCAGAAAATAGCAAATGAGATTACACTCCATAACTTCTTTTTCATCTTCCTCATTCTACAGTCAGACCACCAATATAACAAAAACAATACTGATCATCACAATCCAAAATGACAAAACCACCACACATCTATTAACATACTTTTAAGAATATATAGAAAGTAACTTGCATGTGAGTGTGCCAGCTCTAAATAAATATTTCAATGGAAGTAAAAGTCTAAGGAAGTATAATTTATGTATGAAACCATCCAATATAAGAATTTAGGCAGTTAAGTTTGTCTCTAAATTAATTGAGATGGCACACAATCAAGCGATATAACATTATTCAATCTCATAGTAATAGACATAAATGCATAATGTAACGTTCTTTATGATGGGAAAATAACTGTTCTGAAGAGAATTAATTAGCCCTATCAACCAATTAAATTACCAGTATATTTATTATTTATGCAATTAGTATTAAAATAAAGATTGAACGAAATGGAAATCAGGATAAATACACTAGTCTCAAATACCTAAAACATAAAGGCCTTGTTACCTAATCTCCAAAATAAAAGGGATTATATTTTTTAAACCTTAGTTTTCTAATGTACCTTAGACCGCACACTTGTGATAACTACTCAATATTTTAAATCTATCATATGCAAGGATATATAACATATATGTATATATGAAATTAAATAGAAATAGAAGATGAACATCA